TGAATACACAGGGATAATGAGGAGTAAAATTACAAAGGCACAATAGGACAGAAATGACCGCGGTGCAAGGCCAAACATCACCTCGGCGGTGAGGAAAGGGTGTTAGTGGGTAAACAGCTTAGCTGGAGTCCCACACAACCCCGCTCATTTTGACAGAGAGCACCAGCTCTGGGACTGCATAAAAGAGCATTTCCCAAACCTCACCGAAAAGGAAAAAAAACCTACGAGGACCACATACCTTGAACGTCTTGTAGGAGGAGACCACGTAGGAGGCGCCGTCTTCCAGCTCATCTAAGCGGTACTTGCGATCGCCGTCCATGGAGAAAATGTACCTGGAACATTGCCGGATGAGTGGAGGGCCTTAAGCGCCCAGCTTGTCTGGGATGGCTTACCGTGCGCCCCTGGGCAGGTCCATGCGCAGCGACAGCTTATCCAGCAGCGACTCCAGATTGACGATGTCTCGGCCGGGCTTGAACCGGAACTCGACGCCCGGAAAATACGGGTCGCCATTCTTGTAGAAGATCACGCGGCGCGCCTTCCAGTAGCCCAAGTTTGAGTACCTGGAGCGGAACACGAGGGACTTGATGGGGTTGAAGACCCTGCCGGTTGCTTACCTGCTGGCGGCGAGCTCGCCGCGGCTTTTGGGGCGCAGCGGCGGCGCCTGCATGGAGGACACGTCGCTGGCGTTGTCCGCCATCAATGGACTTGGAGGGCCCTGCCCCCAGTACCCGCCTACGGCACTGACTGGAGGAGGATTGTCATCTTCGTCGTCGCTCAGCTCGTCTAGAATAGGAGGCAAACAACCGATACTCAGTGCAATTTGAAGGGAAAATCTGCCATTTTCCAGGCGAAAGTCCCTTTGTTGCTGACCAGCTGGGCGCCAATTTGCATAATCGACGGAATGCGTGCCAGTCGTGGCCTACTTTGCGAAAAGCGGAATCTGGCTCGGTGGGACAGTTGGAGGACAAGGCGAACAGGAAGGCAACTGGACTGGACTGGACATACCCGCTTTGTCCTGGACGTCGTCCACTGCGGTCGGCACCAAACTGAGCGCGTTCGCATTTTTCTCATTGGGCGTCTCAGCGTCGTCGGGAGCGCCGTTTTGGGCTTGGACGCTCTTCTCCTCGATTGCGTCCACGTGCTGGCGCATTCGGCTGTTCGAGCGAGAGGGCGCCACTGACTGGAAATGGACATTGATGGTCAGTCTTTACTGGAAAACTGCTTGCACTTGGAGATTGGAAAACTTCACAGGTTAATGTAGGTACTGGCCACAAGACAAAAACACGTTTTTGATGTTCCCCCAAACCATTGCCAGCAGTTGTTGTAGGGAGAACTTGCGCAAAACATGCAAAAAAAACGCCACTTACCATTTTGTTGGACTTTCACTAAAAAAGAAACGGCCAGTACATGTAGCCTGAAGACGGCGAGGGAGAAACGACGACCAACAACCGTTAAACCATTAGCTGCCGGTCACCAACACTAAATGGGACTTGTTGCTCGAAAAACTCCAAGAGTATTGACTCCCGAGGAGGGAGTTTGGGAATTCTCGATTGGTCCTCAAAGCCCTATCCTTGACCAATGGGGCTCCAGTGCGGTTGGCCTCTTTATGGCAAGACCGGTGGAGCAGTGGCGTGCCACCCAACGTCCAGCAGCCAATTGCAGCAGGTGCAGTGGGAGGGTGTGAGTCAAGTGTGCGCCACTGCCGGTGCACTTCCAGCTCCGAGAGTGTCGAGCTGATGGATTAATTAGCGCAATCTAATGGGCAAAGGCGCATAGCGTTGACCATTCCCTTCTTCGGCGGTGCGCCCCTGCCTTTTATGCCCTCTTGCCACCCCTATTAGCCTATCCGGAGTGGCGAGCCGCAATATACTTTAGATGTTATCGAACATGCGGTGATTTCAAATAATTACCGTCGAACTAAGTTTCCACAAAATCGGATCCATTCCTCCCTAATGATCCAGTTTATGGGAGCGTTTAGGTGTGCGAAATTGCCCACCCCCAAGGCGCTGCCCTTGTAAGACGGGGGGTGGGCCATTAGCGGTAACCACCGAAAAATCGCACCATAAACCTGAATCACGCCAACAATTCGCAGGAAAACGTACACGTTTGACCTCAATTACCTCAAACAAGCGACATGAGACGTGGATTTCGCTTGGACTCTGGAAATACACACTTGTAAAACATTGGCGCCAATAAAAACTGATTATGTATGCTGGCCCCATAAACGTACGGTCACGATTCCGGGGAAACGCTCCCCAAGATGACCTCAATAATGGTCACTTTGTGGACCCATTCTGGAAGAAGTGCGATTCAACGCAAGTTTCACTTGGGTGGGCTTCCACTTGGGTGGGCTGAGTCTTTTGGACCATGCGTTTTACTTGCTTATTGATAAAAACTCTAAAATCGATCTGTTAATTTTTTACATAAAACACTCTTAGTTTGTCAGAATTTTGCGGTAAAACGTTAGAAAAAAACGCGTTTTTCTGTTTAGTGGTAGTAGTAGTTTTCTGTTTAAGTAGTTAAACTCGATTATTTTATGTAAATTAAGTTGTTTAAATCAAATATTATGTTCAAAAGGTGACTTTTTTTAAAAGCACATCAAATCAAGTCAAATATATATATAAAAAAAACACCATCTCAGAATAAATGCTTAAATCTATTCAAATTTTTAAAAAAGAAAGTTCTCCATACCAGCTTTCGAATACATTCGAAGACCATTTAAAAAATTCTAAAAACAGAAATTTGGAGACATTAAATTATCGACCGTTTCATTTTTAAATCTGCCATTTTTTTTCCCATCCATTCTATCGCTTTCGAAGTTCTTGTTCTGGCAACGCTGCCGTTAGACGCGAGTGTCAGATGGCAGACTAGCGTGACGTTTGATGTATACACAGTTGTTGTTGTTTTCCGACTTTAATGAACGGAATTAAATAGTGAAATTGCCGGCAAAAAGGAACAAAAGTGCGGCCTAGTGGACATGGAGCATTTCTTGCAGCCGACGGCGAAGCAATTCACGTAACTCGTTTCAGTGCCGGTGAAAATTTACGTCCCAACCATGGTGCCGATACCAGCCGAATACATGCCAGATTTCTGGAAAGAGATCGCATCCGAATGCTCGACGGTGGAATTGACCTGCCTGATGCCCAACGGGATCATTGTATTGCTCACGGTCAACTACAATGCCACCCTGGCGGCCATCAAAGAGGTGAGAAGGCAGAGCCAGCTGAAGAGCGGCTTAACATTAAGGGCCTGTTTCAGGACTTGTGGGACAAGGCCGAGAGGTTTCCCCTCTATGGAAAACTGCAGACGGATATGTCGAAGTACCTCTTCAAGGTGGTCAATGCCATGGCGGAGGAGGAGGAGTTGAACGATGAGTCGCGCAGACTGTGCGATATCCGGCCCACTGGCGGCGTCCTGATCATATCCGAGTGCAAGCTGAACTCGGCCGACCACTCGGTCAATGTAATCATCGGCAATCTCATCGGAAAAGGTGAACGATGAAAGCGACTGGCGCTCCTGGACCACACTAGGCGCTCCTGGACCACACTAGGCGCAATTTCATTTCATATTGCAGGGCTACAGGATTTCGACGCCTTCAACAGCTCCGAGATCAACGAGTTCCGGTTCAACATGCGACAGTTGGGCGAGCGCATAGTGGAGACCCGGAACCAGGGCAGCACCCAGGAAATACTGTTCTACCAGTTCCCACCCCGCATCTCGGAAAACGACGACAGTTCGATGCGTGACTTGTCTCGCATGCGAGTGGCTATCAAATGCGACAACGAGTACAAGAACGTCGTGGAAAGCGACGAGTTCGGCGCCAATCAAGATGTAGGTAAGCGATCAATGAGCGTAGCGCCGCCACTGACTTGGTGCATTGGACTTCCAGACTCTGCACACGTCGTTCCAGTTCGAGGTGCCGCCCACTTTCACGCCCGAAGAACTCCTGGAGCGCATCCTGGCCAAGAAGGCGCAACTGCTGAAGATCAGCAACGAAAGAGTGCAGGATTATGTGCTGAAAGTGTGCGGCCGGGACGAGTACCTGCTTGGCGGCTACAAGCTGTGCGAGTACCAGTACGTGGAAGACTGTTTGTCGCTGTGTGCGACCCCCACGTTGGTCACAGTGCACATTGACCGGATACCCGGTAGATTTCAGTTTGCCTAGTAGAAAGTGAGAGGAAACTGAAGCCCAATTTTTCAGTGGTGCGTAGCGACTACGGCTACCTGCACATCAAGCCGCGCACGGATTCCAGCTCGGGCAAGACGCTGGGCAAGAAGAAGAACCCCAAAGCGCCGCCCCAGTCCTCGTGGACAATCCCCGACAACTATGTGATCACTCTGAGCACCGCCAGCAAAGTGAACTGCGACACCAAGCGCGCCTCTGAGGTAAATGTCGGTTGGATGAGCTTTCGGCGGATAATGCTAGTTTTGTAGATCGTTATTCAAGTGGGCCTGTTTCACGGCGGCAAGCCCTTGTGCCAGGCCGTGCGGACTGAAGAGCAGGCGGTGTCCGAACGAGGCGAAGTGGATTTTGAAACGGCCATCGAGTTCGACATCCAGGTCTGCAACATCCCACGCAACGCCAAACTGTGCTTTGCCCTGTGCGAGATAAACCGACTCGTTAAGGGGACCAAGTCGCGCAAACCCAAAGAGCCAAAGGTCAGTAGTAGAATCAGCCAGAAGTCACTAAGTTGAAGCGCAAGCCTTCTGGCTGTACAGGACAACCAACTGAACCCGATCGCGTGGGCCAACATGTCCGTCTACGACTACAAAGGCCAGTTACGGACTGGCGCCATGACCCTCTACATGTGGACATACGCCGAAGACGTCATGTCCGATGAGGTGCTTCATCCGCTGGGCACCACAGTGAGCAACCCCAACACGGGCTACGCCACTGCTTTGACCTTGGTGTTTCGAAGGTCTGTGTGCCTTTGCGTGTTTGCGCCCTAAACTTGCTTAAATGCAGCTTAATTGCAGCTTTTCCGAAGAGAAAGTCATCGTCTACCCGAGCAATGACGAGGTGCTCAAGTACGCCAACAGCTTGGAGGAGCAGCCCATGGAGCCTCTAGACCAGGAGACCAAGGAGAATCACCGCAAGCTGATGAACGACCTGGAGAACTTGTACGACATCCACGATCAGGCAAGTGGCGGAGGTCTGGCAGGGGCGGCGGCTTATCGGACGATTGCATGGGTTGCAGGATCGAAAGAACATGTGGCGACACCGCCGCTACTGGATGATGCACATGCCCGACATTTTCCCCAAGTTGCTGTCTTGCATCGACTGGGACAAGCGCGAAGAGGTCAGCCAGGCCATTGCTTTGCTGGAAGAGTGGCCGATGTTGCCGGTAGAAAAGTCCTTGGAGCTCCTGGACTATGCCTATGCGGACCCGCAGGTGCGCCGCTTTGCCGTGCTCAAGTGTCTCAGACACGTCTGGTAATTACCCGGACGCCACTGTGCAATTCCCCCGTCCCTATTCGGGTGTTTTCAGCGACGAAGATCTGCTGCTCTACCTGCTGCAACTGGTCCAAGCCATCAAGCACGAGCTGTACCATGAGTGCGATTTGGTCAAGTTCCTGATCGAGCGGGCTCTCAGCAACCAAAGAATCGGCCATTTTCTCTTCTGGCATCTGCGGTAACCTCCCCAGGCCGCCTACCTGTAACTGTGGCCTAACCGGGGCGGCTTGTTGTGTGCAGGTCCGAGATGCAAGTGCCATCAGTATCAGTGCGGTTCGGGCTGATTCTGGAGGCGTACTGTAGGGGCAGCCAGGAGCACATACCGATTCTGCAGCGACAGCTGAAGGCCGTGGAGAATCTGAAAAAAGGCACTGAGGTGGTGCGGAGCGTGCAGAGCAAGGAGAAGGCCAAGACGGCGCTCAAGCGATACCTGAGCAGCGTCGGCGAAGAGATGGTGCGCAGCCCCTTGGAGCCCAGCTACCGGTGCAGCCGGATCAAGTAAGCGGCATGGTGGCATAGTGTGACTGCCACCCTGTTGCTAATGGGGATTTTGTTCCAGAGTCCAGGACTGTAGCGTGATGGACAGCAAGATGCGCCCGCTCTGGATCGTATACGAGAACTCCGACCGCTACGGTGAGGATGTTTACATAATCTTCAAGAACGGAGACGATCTGCGACAGGACATGCTCACTCTGCAAATGCTCAAAATCATGGACCGACTTTGGAAGCGCGAAGGACTCGATCTGAAGTAATTTCCCCGATGAAAGTCTTCTGGCGGTTTCCAATGGGTGGGTTGCAAATGTTTCAGGATGAACCCATACAATTGCATTTCATTGGAGCACCGAGTGGGCATGATCGAGGTGGTGCTGAACGCCGAAACAATCGCCAACATTCAGAAGGAGAAGAACAGCGCCGTTGTTGCCAACTTGTACAAACATTCCAAGAAGGACTCCATCCTGGGTGGGTTCCCAGCATACGCTTTCTAGTTATTAAGGGCCTGGCTAATCCTCATTGGGGTTGCAGCTTGGCTGAAGGACTACAACACGACTGAGAGGGCGCTGTCCAAGGCCATTGAAGAGTTCACGTTGTCCTGTGCCGGCTACTGCGTGGCCACATACGTGCTGGGCATCGCCGATCGACACTCGGATAACATCATGATAAAGAAGAGCGGCCAGGTAGGCGGTTGGGTCTAGGCCCGGGTAACACTGTGTTGAGTTGCGCTTTTGCGTTAATGAGTCAACTCATTTACCGATGACCGAGACTGGAATTTTAAAATCTAATCAACATTTTTTATGAGATTGGATCGATTTATCAGCAACGGGACTGAGTTACTGCGCCGTTGCGTTTAGTTGGCGCACCACGCCATTGCGCTAGTACTGCGCCAACTCCTAAAAATTTACCGAGTTACCCAGGCCTAGTCGAGTCCAGATCCATGTGGAAAGAAGCCACAGTTTTTGTTTGTTGTTTGGCAGCTTTTCCACATCGACTTTGGCCACATTCTCGGCCACTTCAAGGAGAAGTTCGGCATTAAACGGGAGCGCGTCCCCTTTGTGCTCACCTACGACTTTGTCTACGTGATCAACAAGGGCCAGGACAAGTCCAGCAGTGCATTGGAGTTCAAGATATTCCAGGACTGGTGCGAACGGGTGAGTCCAGAACCAACGCGGCGAAGCCACAAAACATCTTACTTCTTCCAGGCCTTTATGATCTTGCGCAAGCACGGCAACTTGATCCTTTCCCTCTTTGCAATGATGATCTCCACGGGCCTGCCGGAGCTCAGCTGCGAGAAGGACCTGCAATACTTAAGGGAAACGCTGGTAAGTAATGGCTGAAGGTGCCAACAACTGGAGGCTTAATAGTCGGCGCCTGAATGTAGGTGTTGAGCAAAACCGACGCGGAGGCTTTGGAACATTTCAAGACCAAGTTTGACGAAGCCCTTTCAAACTCGTGGAAAACGTCCCTGAACTGGGCGGGGCACAACTTCTCCAAGAACAACAAGCCGTAATCGGCCCCATTTTGTACATATTTAGGTTGTAAGAGTGATAAAGAGCGATGTGCCAATATCGTGATTAATTTTAATCCAACTCAGTGCGAACATAATTTACTATTACTAGTTGGTGATGGTTCTTGTGCAGATCATCTAGGAGTCAGTGGCCTCCAATGGGGGGCAGCTGTAGTGGCGAATGTTCCGCGGCATCACCATGCCGTGCTGGTTCTTGGCGCAGCCTCTCATGTACGCCACCACTGCATTGATTAGGTGCTCGGGAACCATGGGGCCGATGCCTGGCAGGGCTTCCACGTGCACGTCTTCATATGGCTTTGTTAATTCAAGCCTCAGTAGTGGGAAACATTCTGAACAACAGCCGTTACCTTGACGTCCTGGTCTTGCTCTACATCCCCGCCGCCACTGATTAAGCTCTTCGCTTCCTCCTCGACGCTGATCAGCTGCACCTCCCCCACTGGGCCGGAGCCGCCCAGCTGAAAGTGTTTCACTCCTTGTTGCTGCGACTCAGTCAAAGGCATTTCCTCGATGAGGCGACACTTGAACTTCTCCAGTTCCTCGTCGGTTTCGCCTGCCAGCTCTTGTTGGAGCGCCTGCAAAATCCCGAATGTTGCTGGAGCTCTTGGAAAATATCACGCTCACTTTGAGCCGCTGGAGGTCCTCCTGCAGGGTGGCATCGTCCTCAAATACCGCGTCGAGATCCCGCACAGGCTGCTCAGTGAGGGTGTTGACTGATTCGTATTCCTTCACTTCTTCGGCTGAATCGGACGCAACTGCTACTGGCTCGGGTTCGGGTTCGGGTTGCGGTTCTTCCTTTTCCTCCACCTGGTCAGGCTCCAAGGCCTCTTGGCTTCTGAAATACACGACTGAAGGAGAAAAAAATTAAACGTGCAGATGCGAACCCTTGTTCCTTTTTGCTTTCCTGCTCCTCAGTGCCTTGCTCGGGCTCTTCTTGCGTTGGTTCCTCGGGCGTTTCATCCTGCTCCAGGTACTCTTCCGGGTCCTCGTTCTGTTTGAGCAGGTACTCTACAAAGCAAAGTATTGGCAAGAGGCGCTAATTGAAGCTGACGACTGCGCTTGCCTATGGAGTAATGGTCGTCCTCAGGCAGACTGGGGCAGGATACGACCTTGTCCACCTCCTCCAGCTTCTCGCCCTCCTCCATCGACTCCGTGGAGGTTTTGGTGAGGATGCTGCAAGAGTCTCCACTTATCAAGTTCAAACCACCGAGGTTTTTACCTTTCATCCAGTTCCACCACCGATTCCTGCTGCTCCACCTCCTTGGCGTCCTCCTTTTCTGCCTTCTCCTTCCACAAGGAGAGAAGTGAGTCGCGAAAGGCAAAATTCCTCACAGTTTGGTCACAGGACGCGTCGATTCTGGCAAGAAACGTGTAAAGCTCCAGGAAAGTCTCCAACTGGATCATCGCAGAACCACCTGGAAAATCAATGTAAAGCCCGGGAGAGCTTTGGGGCAGGTTCCAAACTCACCCTCCGGTTCCTCGGTGAGAATTTCGCAGATCAGAATCATCGTATGTGTCAAATCCTGCAAAAACCACAACGTTTTTGGTTTGGGAATTGGAGAGGTTTTGCAGTGCAGCAGACTACTCACATCCGTCAGGGTTCCAGCGCAGACGGCGATAAACTTCAGCCAAGGGATGGCCTGGGGGTCCTCGAACCCTCCCAGACAAAGCAGCTGAATGAGGGTGTGGTGCTGGAGGCAGGCCCCGATCCATCGGTCCCACAGAATCTGCAATAGCGCGCTTTTTAAATCTAGCTAAGGACCATCGGGTCGCAACTGGAAACCTTGCCTTGAACGGTATGCTGAGGTTGTTCTGCAGCTGGTAGAGCAGCGTTTTCAGCCATCCAGGAGTGATCCCGTTGAAGTCCCTAGGAATGGGGTACTCAAGGCGGGGCTTGATGGGCGGAGGGACATTGAGGGAAAGGCAGCGGAAGTAGGCCGTCGACCACCTGAAAAGCGCCCAGTAGGGTACTTGCCCTCTAACGGACCACTAGAACTCACTTGAGCAGGTCGGAGGGCTGAGTTCGGATCGCTGCCTTTGCATACTGCCTCAGCAAGTAGGGGAACGACGGAGGAATGCAGATCTGCTCAGAACAGTACAGATCCTGCGCCATTGTTGTAGAAGCAACTGACACCGTCATGTGAATTGTTGTGTGTAGTGTCAAAGTTCGCGGCGGTTTCCATGGTGACTGGTGAGGGGATTCGATTGTGGCGAGTTCAAAATTCCAGAGGCCTCCTGGTGGCTAAAATTATAACTGCAAGTTAAGCAGTATTTATTATTATAAAAATGATACTGCGCCAACTCGTGAAAATTCACTGAGTTACCCAAGGGGGGGTCATGACCCCCCCATTCAATTCTCTATCCAACGATGCCAAAACGAATTATCTGGCTGGAATGGTTCTTGAAAAACATCGAAAAAAGCAGCGTCATGTTCAAGTGGATTTTGCAACTCTAGTGTCTGCTATTCAAATTTCGCTTTCTGTGTCAAAACTGCTCGAATTTCCCCCTGGCCTTGTGTTTAATCGGGGTAGCAGCAAATCAAATCGTCTGCTGTAAGAATGTGTCAAATTTGACACTTTACAGTAATTATTGTATGACTGTTGATGAATTAAAAGAATAAATTAAAGCTGGATCCGCCCCTGGTAGCACACTGTGTTGAGTTGCGCTTTTGAGTTGAGTTGATGCCGCTCTGCGCGCTAGTGAGTTATAACTCACTGCGTCGCAGTTTTTGTTTCCTCTGATGTACAACGCGCGCTACCGAAATAGTCAATTTGATGTAGTTAACATGCTTTCATCAAAGTGTTAGAATTTGCGAAAGTTTCACGAGAACTTTGAACTCTTTAGGCATGTTGGATCTATTGAGAACCCGCGGCAATTTTCCGGTGACTGCACGGGTTTTCCGGGCGTGACAAGCCGGTCCTGACCTAAAAGCGGGCGCCGATTGCGCTCAGTTCTACAAAAGCGTGCCTACGTGAAAGAAGAAAGCGGTGCGCAAAGAAAGCGGTGACGTCGCAGGGATTTTGTTTGAAATTGGGCGCCAATGTCGCGCGCTGACCAGCTGCGAAGGGTCTTGACTGCGTTCTTTCACAGTGGTAAGTTCGCAGCCATTCACCCCTCTAGTAGTCTAATTAGTGCCAATTCGCGCACAGCGGGTGGCCAACAAACGCGGCTGCACGCCGTCCGCATACATTCGGAATTTTCCTGATAAGTTGCAAATTCTGTGGGTTTAACCCAGGCAGGGCCGGCCCTAGCCCTAGCCAACCATTGAGCCAATAGGCGTCGACGGTTCGTATTCGTGCCGGTGGAAATGTGGCGGAATTCTCGGGCAAAAAACCCGCGATAATGCTTCATGCGTCACTTTGGGTATTCCGACCGCTTAATGGACTTTGGGGCGAGAATTTTGGCCGGCTGCATTTCCTCAATCCGGTGAACGTCGACCAAGGCGGGCTAGCGGCAACACCGGCAGCGATATCGCGTTCGCGTCATCATATCGCGTACTTGACTGACCGACCGCCCGCCCCCCTCTCGATCATTCGCTGTTTCGCTGCCAAGTGGAGTGCTGCTCGCCGACGTTCGCGAGTTTTTCGAATGTCCCCGACTGTTTAGTGTCCCGAGTGTCCTGTCCGATACGCGCGCCATAATGTCGCGCCCTGTTTCAGATGCGGACAAGCCGAGCGGCCCAGATGAGTGCTGCGACATAGCGGAGTCGCGGGGTGACAGCGGCTTCATTTCCAGCGGAAACCTGATGTCGCAGGAATTGTCCTGCGAGGACGTTGCCGCTCGCCCGCAGCCCGACTCGGGCATAATTGAGGACCGGGCAAAGAGCCCGCAGGAGTCCATGCGACTCGACAGCGGCGTGTGTCTCTCCTCCGAGCTCAGTCTGAGCGAGAAGCTGTCGCAGCTCAGTCTGGGCCTGAACGACCTCAGCTTGCCCAAGCCACCGGTCCGCACTACCAGGGAGGAAGTCCCCTGGCAGCTCTACTACGAGCAGGACGAGGACGGAGACACGTAAGTAGCACCGTTTTCCGCTTCCTGATTGCTCAACCACTTCGCAACCTTGATACCTATGGCCATGGCCGTGCTTCTGATCTCTGCCCGATGGCCTGTCCGCTGCTTGCCAGCCCTTTGTCCCTTTGCCCAGCCTGCTAAGGAGTTCCGGGTGGTCCCCAAGCGCCAACGCAAATTGCCATCGAAAATTGCGCCAACTCTGGAAAATCCCGCAGCCGTTGTGTGTGCGTCGTTTGTTTGTCGAAACATTTGAAAGCTGCTCGCAGTCGGATTTCCCCACGGAATTCGGGGCGGGCAGCCAACCAATTGAAAAAAACCCAGTCGCGTGACGTGTGCACTGTTTCAGGCATCTCCACTCGGCGATCTTCCACGGCTACGCCGAGGTCGCCTTGGCGCTCATTCGCTGTGCGCCGCACCCCCGCCTGCTCGACACCCCGAACGACGCCGGCGAGACGCCGCTGCACATCGCAGTGGCCACTGGCCAGCCCCCGGTTGTTCGCTGGCTGGTCATAGCTGGTGCCCGACCCAACCCCCGAAACGCGCAGGTAGCGTAGACCTGCTGCTCTCCTTCCGCATGTAGAATCCTGCTGTTGGTTGCAGGGGGACTCACCGCTGCACATCGCCTCCAAAATGGGCGACCTGCACTGCGTTCGGGCGCTCACAGACCCGCTGAACCCGAAGCATCGAGACGCCATGGCGCTGACCTACCCGCCCGCCCCCCACGAGAAACCCAAGTTGGAGCAATGGAACTATCTGGGTAACTATCTGGGTATAAGACCAACGTAAACAAACGGCTAGAAGAGGAGCGAAGAGGTGCGCATCCGAAGGGCCTTCGGTCGGGAAGACATCAACAAGTTCCTGGTTGGCATCCAGACGGCCATGGGTTCGGAAATAGCGCGCCGATGAATCAAGTGGGCCCATTTTAGGCATCAGGAATGTCGGCCGAGTTAAAATTAAGCGGCCGCACTGTTGCCGCCCGCTACGACGCAGCCGCCATTTACATATCAATAAATTGTCAAACGTTCATCGGGGCCGGAATTTCCGACATATTGGGAATTTTGCCATGATTCGCAGAATTCAGCTGGTGGGCGCCTGTGTCACCTGGGTGACGCTCGACGCCACCCAGTGGCGTCACCGCTCGATTCGGAGCGACTGCTTCTAACACTTTTAATCGGTTGCAGGACAGACCTGCGGCCACGTGGCGGCCGAGCACGGCCACCTGGATATCCTGCGCCACTTGGTCAGCTGCGGCGCCGATATCAACGCCCGCGAGAGCCTGCAGGGCTTGACTGTCCTCCATTACGCCCTCCAGAACCGAGACGACCGAATGCTGCAGTTTTTGCTGAGCGAGTGTCGCGGCCTGAATCCCGACATGCGCAGTTACCGTGGCAAAAACGCTTGGCAGATGTTTCCCTACATTTCTGAGCGACTCACACTAGCCCTGAGACAGCGGGGCGTCGAGTCGCCCTGCTCCAGCAGCGACGAGGAGACCAGCGACGACGATGAGGTGGTGATGAGGGGGCACTCGCCCCCCTGGCCCCACCATTACGTTTGAGTGACTAACGACTCCCGTCTGTTGCCAGATGGGGTACGAAGAGACGCCCGCGGCCATGCTCCTGGTCAACGCACACGCTTGATCCGAACCATCCGCACGGGGGCCCTTGTGGACGACAGCGGCGCCCCGGGCGGCTGAATCGGCCGCTCCCCATTGTACATATCCAGGCCGGGAACCGGGATTGGAACGGGTCGCGTTGCGGCCCGGCCTACTTGGCCGCAATGAGAAAAGACTAAAAGGCAAACATTGTGTTCGTTGTAAAATCCAATGCTAGAACGTAAACCGTTGTTGTATTTATTGTTAGCGTTTAAGTTCCTCCAGCCCCCCTTTGTGTTTTTCTTTGTATATAGATGTACCCCTGACGTGGTAGTTTAGCATGAARACAAATAGAACCTTCCAGTAAATGGCGAATTTCTTTCGTTTTKCCACCAGTAATGCGTCCAGATAAGACGCTGMTTATTTGGTATCTGGAAAGGCCCCGGTGKYTTTTAATTCCTTGCTGCTCGTTGCATTCCTTGTCTCTTTCCGATGAAAATGATGTATCACTCGAGGTATTTTGAGGAACGTGAATTTTTTGGAAAAATCCACCTCATGAAATTTTCGACCAAAAATCAAAATTTTACAATCGGGTTKTTTGCTCTTATTGGATTGTTTCCGACCTAAGAAGTTGCCCAATGGCGAACATGRAAGCTGTGGGTCGAAAATAAGATTGCGACCGCTCAAAMACACTCAACATTGCAATTCAAACATAAATGTATAATTTTTACACGATTCAAATACTGTTTGAATTGAAAATATTGTTCGTGATGTTCGTTTTTGTAATGGATGAGGTTTAGGAAATGCTTTCTGCCTAGAGTTTTGGGCTGTATAAGCCTCCAGCCTGGCTGATTACTTAGTAAATCCCTTTCGCTCATCGCTCAGGCACTCCTTCGCTTGCCCTGTTTATTCAATGAATAAGGATAATAAGGATATGTAATGGCGTACGCAGGACTTCATTGTCTCGTTGTTTCAGTAACTTTCCAAAGGGAAAACTAATAAAAACGTATATACCATAGCCATCAACCCTACGCGGATGTATACAAGCGTTACTGCGATGAGCCACTCGCATAATTTTAACCACCAGTTATAGAGCGTCGTTGAAAAAATGGCGAATTCGCGACGAATTGTTTTGCGTTTACCGGGAACTTAGGGGATAGCGATAAAGGCGAATGCACTCCCTAATTCTTTGTCGCTGCGATCAAGCCGTGCAACTGCAAGAAGAAGTTTGGATTATGTTGGCTGGGGCAAAAAGGGGCAAGACCGCAGAAAACGGCCAGCCCCAGCCTGTCTATTCTCGTATTATAAATGATGCCTAGACATGTCGCTTATAATGATGTAGGCAAATGTCTTGTGTGTGTGCGGATATATTTAGACATTTCAGCGCGTTTTCTATGTTTGTGAAGCGAGCCGATGTACCGCCTCAGACAGATCGTCTTTGGCGAATTATTCTCACTATTTCCGTCGCACTGTGCTGGACCGGATTTCGGACGGACGGATGGACAGTGGCTCGTTTAAGGTCCAGACGGCCTGACCCAATTCCCGAAACCACACAATGACCGGTCCGAATCAGTTGCATCAAGAGAAATGCATTTAATGCGGTCAATTGCTGATCTCTGACACGATTTTTTACGTTAATTGGCAAACGGAAAAGTGGCATTTTCGGCCACCGTCGTTCAAACATTTGGTCTGGAGCAGTGCAACATGCATAAGAGGCGCATAAAACGGGCCACTTTTAACACATAATCGGTCATTATGCGATCGCAAACAGCCGATTAAGAAACGATCCCGATTCCGCAAAATGCTGCGAACAATCGCTCGTTACTTTTAACGGGCCGAAAAATGAACGTTTGCTTGTAAACCAACCAAAGTGAAAACAATCATAATCATTTGCGCTTTGAGCAATTCGACAACAAGACTTGACGAGGTTTAAACACACTCGATTCGATTTTAGGCAAATTTGCTGCATAAGAAGAAAGACCGTGGCAAAGAATAGGCGGATTTTGCCGGAGGAATGCGCCTTTTGTGGTGCAAAGCCGGTAGCAATTTAAAAATGCAAATGTAGCAAAGCAAAACCAACACTTAGGCGCCATTAAGCGACTCTATATTTTGCATAATTTGCAAGCTAATCACATAATTACAGCCATTAGCGTGATTATTAATAACGCATTCAAGTATGGGCGTTTGCTGTCCGATTCCGGGAGCAGAACTCGCGACCATTTGGCTTTTAGATGCCTGTGAGAAGCCGTGGCGGCGCAGCACCGGCCAACCCAAAAGCCTCATAACTCTCCTATTTCAAGCTGAAATTGAAAAACCAAAATTTCACCTGATTTGCATTTTCTTCAGTAAGAACAAACGCAAGTTGATCGGAAAGGGAATTGATTTCCCAATAATTCCGCCAAAAGGAAATCGTACAGGGCGCCGCACCACCGGCCAACCGCCACCGCTGAAGTCGGGCTGCTCTGGCTGCACCACAAAGATGCGAGAAGAGCCGCACCGCACTTAAGTGCGGCCTGCCTTCCAGAGCCTTCGATGCATAAACAACGCAACTATAAATAGTCCGTTTAATGCAAATTACGTGATCTTAGTGTGGTTTTTCTCCGATGAGGGGTAATTAGATTGTTTTCTTGCGGGAATGCGAGCAAGGCGCCAGCCAGCCAGCTGGGCTATCAGCCCGTGCCTTACTTCCATTGGCGTTTCTGTCGGCTCGGAAAGTGCAGGAAAATGTCCCCCTTAATGGTAATTGGGCCCTCGTTAGAGCGAAAATAGATCGGGAGCTGTTAATGTCAAGGCCTCCAGCTGGTACCGAAGGCACCAGTTTTTTGAGCAAAACTGGCGATTTCGGCGATTGCTTCGTTACCCCTTGACCCAATTTCGGCTGACACCAGTCTATTGATTGTTTGTTTGTACACGTTCTAAACTGGATGGCTGATAATGCCAGATAATTGCAGAAGGCGGTGAAGTAATCGCCGCCGGCGGTTTGGGTCACTTTCCTGGCAAGGAAAATCTCCGAGGATGCCGAAGAATGAATGACATGTTCTCACACATTTCTGCGGCCCAATGCGATGCGAAAAAAGCCCGCGATCAGAATTGCACATCGGCGGGCTCGTATTGCTGCACGCGTGGATCCGGCGGACGCGACGTCGCTCGCAGGACGCTTGCACTGCTTCGGAGGCGCGCAAATCGGCGCCCCGATCGATTTAACATTGTTGGCAGTACCCAAAGAAGGCAACAGCCTCTTGGATCCACTTTTTACCACCGAATGGCGATATTGTTCTGTTAGATTAGGTGCAGTTTCATTTAGTAGTTTAACGGTCTGTGCCCGATCCACTTTGGAAAGAAACACTGCCTACTTTGTACCTGTTCAGTTGGTTTCATTATCGGAAATGCCTGCATGCTTAATTGGTCGTCAGTGGCGCCTCGAGATGAACCCAACCGAAGAGCAGGCGGCTCTCTGGATCAGTAACCCGAGCTCGATTTGCAAAAAACGCGAAATTCCAAAAATAGTCCCCGGAAAGCGGGCGTGTTTGTTTACGCGGTCCGGCAAAAATCGGCCAATTCGGATCATCTCATTAATCGGCAATTAATCGCCCATTTACTCGCAGGAATCCGACATCAGCTGTTGCCTTTGTGGCTGCACGGCGTCGATAAAGGCGCAGCCAGGCCGCTCCACGTGCGCTTTTTGCAATGCAAAGATGCCATTATTTGACTGGCAAATGGTTGTGCCGTTTTGGGTGAACAACCAGCGGCGGCCGCATCGAATTTGCAAATGACCGCCGGCCAAATCATGCATCATGCATTTGCCCCAGTCGTTTGGAAGGGAAATTCGCATGCAAAGCGGCGCCATTGCCCGCCACTGTTTCAGCCTGGGCGACGCCACTGCTTCTAATTAGCCACAACATTGCATGTAGATGGGATTTCATTCCCTATTGATACCGGTATGGACACCCTGCTGGGACTTTTGCCTGCAAGCGGCGATCAAGTGGCAGTGTGCGGAACCAATCGGATCATCGGGATTCAGGAAATTTCGCTTAACAACAAGGAAACCGCCTGCTTCTGACATTCCTGCTGCGGAAATTGGAAAACCTGCAAGTATGCGATCGATGTGCGTCCCGATCGAATCGATATTATTATTCATACGGTTTTCGGTCATTTTCGCATCCAAACGGCCTGTGAAGGTGAAGATCGCTTGCGACCCTAAACCGTTTTGCTGCAAACAAACGTTAGTGATGCATTTTTTCCCATCGGCGCGGCCCGCAAAAGCAAAAAAAACCCAGCCTCTACCTGGGCGAAGAAAAAACGGTCAGGTAGAGAAGAGATACTGTCGGTACCGATGAAAAAAACCGATTCAAATTAGTGATAATGTGAATGATTTGAAATTTAAATGGCTCAACCCTTTTTCGGTTCGCACGGGGTTCAAAAGTCGCTTAAGTGACGACGCCGATTGCATTTGGGCGGCCCGCCACAAAGTGTGGCAAACGAAAATGCGAATTGCGTTTCTTGGAAAAATTGCATTTGGGCAATTCATTTTCTGGTAACAGTAAAACTGAAGTGAATTTTCATCGCAGGACCGGGCTCGGCTCGATGTTTTCACTGTCCGAGCGACCAGGGGAAACTTGAAACGTTCACCCACGCTTGTTATCCCTAATTAATTAGTGGCCCACGCCATCTCTATCTATCACTGCTGATGGCCCATTTTGCTTTTCTCCAGACTAAGTGGGCGCTGAAACCGGGCAACAGGCACTGTTCGACCTAATGGACAGGACAAGGTGAAACAGGAGCAGCACCAGACACTCGCTACATACATGATTTTACACGATCGCCCAAGACAATTGCAGTCAGCATCAGCTCAGCCACTGACTGGAGCTGAGGAAGGTTTCGAGATGCGTAAGGGCTTTGTGCGGCCAGCAGGAATCCTCCGGTAGATCGGCAATTACGTGCATAACTCAGCCGCATGGAAATAGACTTGGTTCATAAATCAGGATCTATTTCAGGCTATTTATAGAAGGGGATTGCAGATTACTTAACATCAGCTCTCATTAATCGCCATCGTAGTCGGTTGGTTACCTAATCGGGCGATTTGCTCGGATCGCCTTCTAACCGTTTCTTGTTTTGAGCAGATTTGTGCTCGGCGTCCAGCCCAGAAAGATGTTGGTGCCGGGAAGTCCAACAAACGGTCGTGATTTCCAAGTAAAACAGCCTTTGTTTGATCAGCCGAGGGAAATTACACCACTGATGTAACAACAGCTCTGCTCAGCAAATGTTGTTTCGGCCAGTCGCAGCAACAATCGAAAAAACAGCGTGTGTTTTTCCCTGATGGTTGCAAGTGGTGTGCCATGCGGTTGCTTGGCCATGGGCGATGGCTCGGAACGACACGGAAAAAATTGGGAATTTCTGGGGGGCCGGAGCACTTTTGAATTGTGCACTCATGTGAAGGCCATATTTTGGGGCAAATACGCTTAGTAACAACATTTGCAACGTGAATTTGCCTGTCGATCTGGCGATGAGCTGATTTTCCGCCCAGATTCGGCGGTAACTGTTTGTTGATTAAGCAAACTGGGCATGTGCGACTTGGGTTTTTCGGGTTCGGTCGCCTTGGCACACGGTTTTCCTCGCTTTGCTAAATGTCGGTAATTGCACAACAGAGATAAATGTCCCCACGGCGATTACCATTTCCGGAACGTTTACTGAATACCAATTCTTCGGATGAATCCACTAAAGGTTGATCTATTGCGAGATTTTGAATCGATTTAAAATTCAAATCCGTTTTGCGCTCGCTCCTCTCCTGTCGTCCGCTTCTTAACCATTCAGCATACAGGATACCATTTTCCGTTATGCAGTGGCCACACGATAATCAGCTCGGATGACGTCGGCGATAAGAAGAATCATCTGCATTTTCCTGCTTCTGTCAATCACTTGCAGTCCCGAAAGTCGCCCTATACTTTTTACCTGAACCGAGGGCGGAAGAGCAACTGTCGAGGCTATTTATAAGCACCCTCCAGCAGCCGGCACTGCCTTATAAGGGCGCAAAACCGCTACCTATTTTTAACACCCCCTGAGTGTTTTTTGCTGGTTCTTTGGGGCCGACATCTGATCAGATGGGTTGATGTGCATTTCCGGGGGTTTCGAGGAACAGCACGTGTTCCCTGGTAATTAAGCGTTTTTTTGCCCTCGCGAGTTAATTGAAAATGGCAGGCTGCACTTCGGCTGCTCGATCTCCTTATGGGCCATTAATGGTCAATGGAAATTTCTGAGCGATAATCACTTTTCAGACCGTTTCCGGCGTGCCTGCTTAAAATTCAACCGCAGTTTTGGGAAATTTTCGCACACATTTGGGCCGAAAACTGCAAAATCCTTAATAGCTCGCTTAAAAGGTAGCGTAGAGCAAAAGTGAATACCACATTTAGTTTCAGAGATATTTCAGATTTTTGGAAACAACGTTTTTGACAAAATCATGAAAAATCCTAAGCGTGTTGGAAGGGCTTTGCGATATTTGCCTTTGCAGGGGTTTCCATATGGATAAAATACACATTCGTTCGTTCCGCAACGAATTTCAGGCCTGCAGATTGGCAGTTGGATGGTTTTTTCCCGAGGATGATGGGTTCCCTACTGGCCGACTGATTTAATGAGGTGGTGGTGGCCTGAGCTGAATTTCAAGCGATCTGGTTGTCGCAAGTTGGGCGGCAATCAGGGCCGAAGCAGGGCTTCGAGCACGCGAGTCCAGCTGCTGGAGGGCCGCCACATGTCATTATTGTGATCCGTCCCTGGCAGCGATTTTTCTCAAGAGAACCGCACCATTTGATCACGTCAAGCAGCTTTCTATCTCGCATAAATCTGGTTCGGGATCGTGGGTGTTCGATCTTGTCAATTTTTTTGTTTCGTTCTTTGGGCTTTCGACTCGACTGGCCAAAATCGAATCGCCACACCCCAGCTCCACTGCTGCCCATCACTTTGTTCATCATCAGACCGACACACTGAACTAGCCGGCAACAGGGCATAGTTTTTTGCGAAACCGTTGCACAGGTGTTTCTGGCACCCAAAAAATGTAGACTTTCAGGTTCCACCATGAATGTTCGCTGTTTTTTTTTGCCTCGGACAAGTTTCGGTGTTCATTTTTCGCTCACCACCTCGCTCAAGGATGGCCACATTTGCTAGCACGTGTCTTCTCGTATGCAAAACCACTCGCCGCAAAAAATGTGCGGCCTGCAGGTGTGCAGTTGCGTAACAATTTTGCCAAAAAAGTGACTTTGTTCGTGTTAATGAGCCGCAGTGTTGCCCGACCGCATCTGGATAGAATGGCAGGCGGCATGGATGTGGCAACGGCAGAAAGCGGACAGTGACGAATTGGCCTGGTAGCAACACCTGGGGAGCGTGAAAGCTCAAAAAAGCGCGATGCCCGCGTCTCCGTCGTCGCGATACATCCAGCCAATCGCGTGCAAGAGCTTTACACACATATATAGGGTCACTTTAGCGTACATTTTTCAGTACGCTCGCTAATACACACTCAAATCGTGATCAACACTAAATAGAGAGGCGAGCGGTTGGCGCGCGACTTTCGAAAGCCCCCAGCGCACTGAATCGCATGTGACTTTCCGAATTTTCTCCCAAATTTCCGGACTTGCGACGCGTTGTGCGAGCATGCAACGTACCAACGGCCGCCCCAGTGCCAAATGAGAGTTGAGAGAACTTTGCGCCCCCTTTGAACTCTGCTGTTCGCCGCCACACGCAAAACGGTTGTGCTGCTGAAGAACATGTTGTCGCCCTTGCGCCCTTTCGCCCAATGCCGGCCCCCAGCCGCCCTCAAGTTCTTTCTGATCATTTCCGCGCTCCCGTTCACGATAGACGGCGCCAAGTCCGCCAGCGGCTACAGCCACCAGGTCCAGCCCCAGGACGAGCCGCTCTCCACCAGCCTCTTCGACATGGCCTACCCCTCGATGCCGGCCTCGCCGCCCACCTCGACCTGCAGCTTGTGCAAGAGGCGCGAAGAGCTCAAAGTGCGCAACCTGGCCATCATCAAGGAGGAGATCCTCAAGCGGATGGGCTTCAGCCAGCCGCCCAACATCACGGGGAAGGTGCTGCCGCAGGTGCCTTCTCACTATATGGCCAAGATTGAGGAGGAGCACGGCATGCAGGGCGACCAGCCCTACAAGACCGGCCTCACCTACACCGAGGAGGACGACGAGTACCATGTCCGCACTCAGAAGGTGCTCACCTGGGCCGAAACCCGTAAGTAACCGTTCGACTTTCTTCCTTCAAAGTTAGGAGTTAAGGGCCTGCTCGCACACGCATTTTTCGACTTGCCACCAAGTAAACGCAGTCGTTGCAGCACGTCCATGAACCTGGGCCGTTCGTTCAATAAAAGCGAACGATTATCGCGAAATAAACGTCCCTTTTAGTGTTTGTTGTCTTCCGAAATGCAGTCGCCGAATAGGGGCCACTCGCGCCATTTCCACGCTATAAAAGCGCACTCAAACGCTGCAGCTTTCGGCTGCAAATCCATCATCGGGCGCCAGCAAAATGCACCCATTAAAAGTTTGCGGCAAAATGACTGGAGGCGCGCTACCACAACCGGCAAAGAACCACCAAAGGTACTTATTGGGGTTCTGGAGTCTGAGAGGTTTTTGCTCACAGATCGTGCGTGTGTGTGTGTGTGTGTGTCCCTCCGGTTTGCTGGAAACAAGGCTGCGATTGTTGAATGGAAATCGAGTCAAGGACAAGCCCGCTTGGATATTGCACGCATAATGGGGTAAATAATGATTTCGCGTTGCTGCTTCGAAGCCTTCAGCATCGGCAACAAGTTACGGCTTCTGGAGTGCGCTCAGTGGCTTCAGTTAAGCCCCAGCAGGCCGGCAAATCCCCATCAGCATCGCACGTGCGCCTATTAAGGTGCGAACAATACAATAGACAACTGCCTGTGACAGACTACTATTAGTAAGCCGGCTCGAAAGTCTAGGCCAAATCAATTGATCAATGATAGGTGTCTAGCGGGCCGTCTGATTGTTTTGCATTTGACCCAGTGGCGCAGCAGGCGCAGCAAGCGCGGCACTTTTCGGCCAAGAGGGCCCACACGACCGCCTGCCGACCGGCCGCACTTCTCCCTTCAGAGTGTTGACTACCGGCGCAATTCGGAGCCAAACTGAGGCCAGAACAGAGCGATGGAGCGGGGCGGGCGACGCTGGTTTGTTGGGCGGACGCCACTGGGTTTCGGCCAATTAACGAGCACCGTTTGACCCCGGCGGCCGATCAAATTTTACGTTTGCCGAAAAGCGCCCAATCAAATGTCGATTAATATCGATTCAACGGCTTTAGCCCAGTAGCTTCGAGTAGCTTGGCAACGTGGCGCGGCATCATATCTTGGTCAGTAGTGACCTTGGTGTCGGCCTGCACTGACCCAAACACTGACCTTTCCTGCCGAACGCAAAAAGATGACCAATTGACAACAATCATCATTATGGTTGTTGCAACAGCATCAAATCGCCGTCGTCGTCGTTGGCCTCCTGATGATGCATGGCAGGAAAATGGAAACGTCGCGTTGGGATTGCGTCCCTACTAGGGCTGTACGGTTGGTTCAACTGATATCTGATCTGACTCAACTTTTAGTTTGCCACCGAATTCATCAGGTTTGCGCAAGTGGAAGGAATTCGTGCTTGTTTTGGTACAAAAACTACCAGAACTCTTTTCAGTTGGCAGCTGGAATATTTTCTGCTCCTGTTTGCAAATTCTTGTAGCATTCATAGGTTTTGCCCAAAAAAAAATATTTCTGTTTGCTTGCTATTTAAAAGATTTAAACCTTTCCTGAAGCGTCGCAGTTAGTTAGCGATAACGTTATTTTCTAATAAATGAATTGTCAAGCGTCCGAATTGCGTTCAGCAGAAATCTCAAGTATGGCCCTGGCGTAGGAACAAATTCACAGCGATCTTTATTAAAAACCATCGAAGCATTCTTGCGATGTTTCCAAAAAGATCATTTTTCCAAGAACTTTGGCCATCAATAACAGAGGAACGATACATTTTTCCTTGGTGAAAGTTTGTTCAGATCGTGTGCTTATGACCCAAAAAATACAGGGTGTCTCACGGTCAGCGTCCATTAGAATATTGCAAAGCCGACAAAAATCAAGTTCCGGATGGATTTTTCTGAAACTTACCACGTCTATAGGGTCAAGATGGTAAAAGATGCCTGCTTGTTTTACGCTGGGAGGATTACTAGCTTATACTAGGTTACATTTCGATTTTCGTCTACAAAAATGCGATATTAGCGCTCAAATGTATCTAAAGTTTGCCTAAGGTATAACAATTCTAAATATTCTTCGACTTCGACTAGCGAAAAAAATTCCTGGATGGTCCATAAATTCGGCCAAAAACAACTTGCAAACTTTTGACATTTGTTTTCCCAAAACCATCGCATGCAATCGTGTTTTAGGTATCAACAATTCATAACTCCACATGCAAAATTCCCCCTAAGATGCAGAATAATGGGGGTGTTGGTAAAAGTTTGACCATCTTTCCTAATGACGCATTATTTGCTTCTTTCGGGCACTCAACACAATTAACAGTGGTGTTGCCATAGTGATTTTTTTAATAAAACTAAAATATATACACAAAGTAAAAATGAATAAGCTGAAAATACCTAAATATTCTAGACCGACCCAAATTGAATGAATCTGCACGAACCCAAACCCAAGGAAACAATTGTGCTAAAAACTTAATTATTTTATTTATAAAAAAATTTATCCTAAAAACGGTGATTTTCCTGAAATGTTGTGAGTGGTTTTCGGCTTGTTTGATGGACCATCCCGAAATTTAAGGAAAAACAAGAAAAAACTGAACAGTCTGTTGTGACAGTGACTCAAACGACACAATCACCTTAATTGTGATTAGAAACTGATAAATTTGCAAACAGATAAAACAGAGTGGGCTAACTTTGCTTCAGTCGCTTTTAACCAAAATTGCACATTAAATTTATACACATTGTGTTAACGAAAAACAGTTTCCCCTTCTCTTGAAGTGCTTTCCTAGATTTGGGGTTTTCCCACAGGTTTTCACATCAGAAATTGGCATTTTGCGCGTGCTTTACTCTGGGAAATGCATACTTTTTATTGAATGTTTGCCTGCTATGTGGACGAAATCGATTCGAATCGTACAACCCTAGTGGCCACCAGTGCAGCGCTCGAGGGGCCCATTTGGGGGCTGAAGGCGCGCAGCTCTGATCTGGAGGGTCCGATTTGATGAAGTGCGACCCTGCTTCGACCGGCACCGAATACAAATTAGCCGCAAGTGTTTGGCCATCCGAAGAGCGCTTATTTCGAGTTTAGTGTCGTTTTTGCAAAGTCCATTATGCGCTTATAAATAAGCAAGCTGCAGGACGGCGAACGGGCGTTTGTGTGTGGCAGGACGAGCCATAAAGTCGTCTTAAGTCTTGGCGTTTAATGGCGTTCGTTTGGTGGTCGAAACGGGCACTTTGGGAGGTCCAAACGAACGAACGAACGACCGACTTTCGAAAGCCGAAAGGCGGCAAAAAGCGCGCCAGTGGCGACGCCGCAGGGAGTTCGCGGCAAGGAAGCGTCCAATTGACCCAGAGGAGGCCGTTGTGCCCCGAAATAACGAAATAAAAGAAAAACAAACTCGTTACTTATATAATTGCAAATAAAGGATTTGAACCGGGTACCGGATGCGCTCGAATTTAGGCGGTACCACTACACACAGGCCTGCGGTCCCACAGTGTTGCATTTGAAAATCGTGCAATTTATAGGTCATTTGCACTTCGGCGTTGACCTTTGCAGAACGCGAATAACTCAAATTTATTGCCCGGCTTTAACTGCTCGCAATTGCTCCTTGCACCACTTGCTTTCGACTCCAAGCGGGACCATTCCGCTTGGTGCTTTATGCGAACATCGAGGAACGCATTCTTTGCCACATTTAATGTTTCAATTGATAGGCACAACATCTGCTTGGAAGTCGAGCCAAAAGGGCCGCAACGGCACGCAACTCTTCGGACGTGAGCCCTTATCAGATCGGCACAGTTTATTGGGGGGAAACGATCGGGTCTTGGGCGAAATTGATTCAGTCAGAAGCAGTCGAAAAGACGGTTTTAAGAATTTAAGAGCCGGTTACAAAACAGTACTGGTGTGGCGTTATCGATGCCTAAACTGCCAAATCGCAGGAACTTATCGAATTCCGTGCATGCGACTCGATACCGCTCTTGGTCGGTCCCTTGGTAACAACAGTGCGATAATTGCGCCAACAATTAACCACACTTGGTGGCTAATTAGCATGGATTTCGCTCAACTTCCCCAGCGCCAACCAGTGATTGGGAAATTTAGAAAATTCGGTTTCAGATCCGCGAATGAGGCACATGAGTTGGAAAGTGAACGACGTGCTGCACTTTCCCTTCTCAGACAGCATCACCAAGTTCCACGTGGCCAACGCCACATTGAACTTCTTCGTCCGGGGCGGATCGGAGCGCATGGCTGGGCCTCACGACGTCCTGATCGACATCTACAAGGTGGTGAAGTTTGGCGACCATTCGGAGCCGCCCGAACTGGTGCGGGTCAAGAGCTGGAAGGAGCCGTGGCTGCCCGGACGGGGCAAATGGATCCAGACCGACTTTACGGCCACAGTCGGCGAATGGTTCAAAAATGGCAAGGAGAACTTCGGGTTCGTCATCAATGCGACCGTCAATGGCAAGAAGTTGGCCGTGACGGACTTCAACTCCGAGAAATCAAAGGTGAGTTCGGAATGGTGTCGTCGTATGGTTGGTTGGTTGGTTGGTTGGCTATTATTAACAGCTCCGTATCGGCGGCGAGAAGATGCACAGGCTATTTAAATGTATAAAGGACACCGATAAGCCGTCTTATCGGCCATGCCGAGATGCTGTAAACATAAAAATCTCCTATAACTGACTAATTGATATTGACACGGTTTCTGAGTGGAATCGGTTTTTTCGGCAACAGCCGTTTCGCCCTCCTTGCAACTTTGCATGGGTGTCAAAGGGGCAAGCAAAGCAACCGGCCACAAACGGGAACACGACCAGAATAGATAGAGATAAGAACCGAATCGGCCGCATATTTCCAAATCGCAGTCACAATAAAGGCGTCTGTGCTGTTGCAAAGTGCACTCTTTTATCGCAGCAAAAATGCGTCCGAACGTCGCCTCTGGATAGAAGGCGAACGTGATTTTCCCATGTACTTTTGTACCGTCTTTGTTCCGCTCACTTAATGAGTGGTGCAGTGAAGACTTGAGAACTACGTTCTTCATAGGAAAACGTTTGCCAGCCACCCTCTCGCTATCGCATAGACTTTTCCAAAGTAAAAGTTCCAGGCAAAAGCCAACCGAAAAGTGGTCGCCGTTGACATTTGACCGGGCGAACCCGATAACTTTTACGTAATTAATTTGGGCGAATTTGGGTTAATCGCATGGGCGACGTCACTGGGCCACGTTCAGCGATAGCTGAGCGGTACCGCGCCAAAGTGTTGGTGTTGCCAGAAAGCAGCCAGACCAGGCTTTCTCACTTTCTTGTTCCCATTGGCATTTCCAGGCTCCCTACGTGGAAACGGCGGTGATGGAGCCAAAGCGACGCAAGCGGCGCAACTCCGGGCTGAACTGCGACGAAAAGGCCAACGAGCCGCTGTGCTGCCGCTACAGCTTCTACGTGGACTTTGTGGAGATCGGGCTCGACTTTATCGTGGCCCCCAAGCGGTACGATGCTCACATGTGCTCGGGGGAGTGTCCCTACCTGACGCTGCAGAAGTACCCGCACACGCACTTGCTGAAAATGGCGCAGCCGAACTCAGCGGCGCCGTGCTGCGCCCCCCGCAAAATGTCCGCGATTTCCATGCTCTACTTCGACGACAAACTCAACCTGGTGCTCAGCAGCCTGCCCGGCATGGTGGTGGATCGCTGCGGATGCTCATAATGACCACGTATTTTCGATAGTATTTCCGGAACTGGTATACCATTTTACTTAATTTCGTATTAGTGTACCGGGTGTGTCACGGCATGTTCAGTGCCACTCGCTCGATTTGCTAATTGGCCTCCAGTTCCCTGATTATTAAGTCGACTCCGCACCACTCCACGAAACGGCACTGGATTTTGTGCGGACCCGGTATTGATACACATATAAATATATATATAAGGATGTTTGTTCTAATGTTATTTGTACAAATGTGATATATCTTAGGAGGTAAGTTGGTGGATGGCCGAGTCACCTTCGCGGCCTCGAGAATATTGACAGCGAATCGCCGGCTCTCCCAACAAAACTTTCAACGCTTATCAGGACTGATAAGTCTTTGCAGAATGGCCTGAGCTGGTCAATGTTCGCCGGAGGGGCGGCTGCGGCCCGCCCAGGGCGGTTTTCGGCCATTCAGTTTGTATTTTTCTATCGATATTTGGGGCGAGGATGCGGCCGAGCAGAGTTTTGACGAAATTTTTGTGATATTATCATGCCTTAGATGTTATTTGTCGGAAGGGGGAGCGGGAATTGTGATAACGAATCAAAATTTACTATTGATCGAATTGCGCCTATCGTTGTAAGGTTAAGTTAATCGTGTAAACGGAAGCTGATGAGATGATGAGAGTCTTTCTAGCCAGCCTCTGTCGATCCTTGTATGTACCTACGGGGCGGTCAACAACTGGCGCCCCCAAGCCCACGTACAGGATACGCGAACGAGTAAATATACATATATTAATACAAGCACATAGATCTCTAAAAGACCCCCTAGATTATTGTTAGATACCAATTTGTTTGTGAATCGGCCCTCGTTGGGGCAAAGCTCGAAGCTTTGGTAACTAATATTTAGTCCCTTTTCCCACACACTCGCTGGATTCGCATTTCGAGCCTTGTCTGCCAATCGGAGGGCCAGTGTCTCTTCGCTTATTACTGATGTACATTTTATTCTACTGTATGATGAGATTTTGCTAAATAAACTTGAAAACCCATGCGAACAGAGGCGTGTTTCTTTCCCACTCGCACAATCCACGGCGGCCATCAAGGGCCGCTGTGGATACGAGGGTTGAATGTTCTTCGAGGCCCAGATTAGCAGGGAAGCGCTTCGCCCCCGGGAATTGATAAGAGCTGTTTGCCGGTTCCTGAGTGCCGATAAGGGTTCTGAAAACACGGACAGGTTCTCCGGGCGGCTCAAATGAACAACGCGATACTGCCACGAAGACTTTGGCGCTCACGCGGCTCTTTAGAACGCGCTCTGACCTAGAAATCGGCGTCTGGAAACCGGCCCAGACATTATTGAGGCTCAGTTTTCGGGACTCCGCAATTATTGCACAGGCCAGTCCAGACGGCGACGCCACGTCACAGACGGCCAATTTCACCGAACCGAAGAAAAAAGCCCGGATAAGTGGACGCATAATCGCATCCAACAGTGGGTAATTTTCCAGAAGCTGCCTTTCCTTCCAGGCCCCCAGAGCTGGGAAAGAGGCGCATAATTGGCCGAGTAGACTGGCTGAAATTCGACCGTTTTAACTGATGCTAGGTCAGTACCACTGCAGGCGAACTCTGACATGGCCTTGCCAAATGGAAATTATTACAGTCTAGACCATCAATGGATCGGCAAAAGATTTAGCGCCTTTTTAATGTGCAACCGTTCGCCTCCAGTTCTTTGACATGAATCAATCAACGAAAAGTCTGGCCGGCTAATTATGCAGCAGCGGCAAGACACCCTCCAAGTGCCATTCCGTGCAGAAAGTTTGAATTACACCCTTCTGACCGGTGCAGGTGCAGTGAATCATCCATCTACTTGCTGGCAGTGCACTTTCGCACAACTATCGGCAAACCAGCCCAATCCTAGTCTGATGATGGCGCGCCCTCCAGCCGAAACTGGACAGACTTGCCACTAGTTTTGTGCCCGATTTTCACCTACTTTTAGTCGCAACAAAACTGCTTCATCAGAGCAGGCAACAAGCTGAAACTGAGCTTGAATCTGCCGATATTTTGAGTTTTTTTGTAGGCTGCAATAGTGAATTATTCGATCTCCACAGTTGCTCTCAATTAAACATTCAGACTTGGGAAGTTTTTCAGCGACACAGTTATTTCCATATATAAATATTCGTTATTATCCCTTTATCGAGAGATGCAATCGCCCTATCTATTGGCTATGTCTTGGTGTGACCAGAATGCGTTGGCAGTGACTTTCTGATTTTTGGGAAGCATTTCAATTGAACGGTACCACAATTTGGCGATTTACATGGGGTTTGAAGTGTGGCAACTTCGGTTCGAGGGCCACATTTGCATGTTGGTTGGGCGAAAGGTGGCAGGTTCTCCATTACAGGAAACAGCCGAAAACTCCTCAATCTAATAATCTGCATGTCCTTACGCAACTGTGCCTATACCTATATAGCGTTACGCATCCAATTTTCCAGAAATGAAGGGTTGAGGTGTAACGAAAGCCGGGCGCGGGGCCGTTTCGCCGTTTTGAGTTACCCAGTGGAAGGGTCCTTTGGGGGCAAGAGCAATCAACGGATAGCGTTTCATCATCAGGGCGCGCGTCCAAGACAACTTGAGCGAATATTTTTCGATAAAATCAAGCGACCTCCTCGGTGGGGCCTCTAGAAATTGCCTAGCCAACTAGACGACCACTGCTAGAGACATCTACTAGAGAGCTGAATTCGGCGTCTTTGCTTCGCGTTCGCCATCGTCCACTGCTTAGAGTTCGCGTTTTTCGCACAGTTCGTCCGCTAGTTTCAGAAAACTTCTTCAATACCGAATGCAAGGAACGAAGGCCTATGCCTGAAGGGCTGTTTATCGCAGTCGAGTACTGCTGTCTCACCTGTTATTCAGCTAACAGGTGAGCTGATTTGAAAGAAATTTTGGAACTTTATCACGTGCAAGAGAAACAAACCACCTCCCAGAATACCCGTACAAAAATATTGAAAGGTAAATTGCCCAACAAGTTGTGTGTCCCGCTAACGAGAACAAGTTATGAAAACGGTCGTAAAGTTGGTTTGGTTCTCTCGAAAGTGTGACATCAAAGCAGGCCGCTGATTGGGTGACATGATTTCTCGGCAAATAAATCTGAGCGCCGGGTTTACAACTTAATTCTCACCATCGGCTTATCGTCGTCTTCTCTTGCTCGGTGGGTCGCACCTGAAGAATCCGTGTGCGGTCCCGAACCGGCCCGCTCGGACTCTTTTCACCAGCAGTCGCATTCCGCCCGTCTCCTGTTTCCCCAGCTCCTGCCATTGGACGCGACTCCCTACTGAGCGTCCAGGGATTAACTGAGTCGGGCACTTGGTCTGGATTTCCGGTTAGAAGCGCCTCCTTTCTGGTTAACAACCCGATCAGCGCCTTGATCGGTCAGGGCAGCGATCGCTGGCGCCTTTGGGCACGACCCAGGCGGCCTAATTAGCATATACAGGGTGGCGCGACGTGGCGGGGCCCGCATGAATTGATGACCACCCGAAGACTTCCAAGATGACACTTTCATGGTCGCGCTGATAAGCCGTGAGAACCGAAACCATCCAAGGAGCATTTCATTGCCGATTGCTCTGGTACCTGACTGTCATTTTGACAGCGACTTGCGCCTGTCATTTGCATAAGTCAGTGGTGGTGTCCTTTTAAGGGGGTTTGACCGGTTTCGGAGCGGGCGCCAATGCGAGCGTATCACACATTTAAATGGGCCGATTTTTCCACGTATCTGGCGCCTAACCAAACCTCCGATCGCCTTGCCTTAGATAGAACAGCCTGATGACATTCGAAAATTACAAGTTACAGTTATGAGCGAGCTTCAGACGCCGGTCATAACTTTGGTTCACAATATCGTTGTTAATGAAATATGTATGTTTGTGTGTGTGTGTGTGTGTGCTGCTTATATGGGATTACACAATGGCTGTGCCATTGCTACAGAGTGGACACGTTTTCTATCGTTGGTAGTCAGCGAATTCTTCGACGAAAAATCGAATAAACTGCAGGACTTTCACTCAGTACCGAGCCTCGCACGCCGGGAGTTCGAGCCGCTATGGACCGATCAAAGCATGCCGAGTGCCGCGTGGCAGCACCACTTTTACATAAATTAAATCGAAAACGGCGCCCACCAATCGAAAACAGACGCATTTCCATAACATTTGTATTACATAGTATGTGGCCCATTAATATTAAGTGCCAACAAGTAGGCGCATTCCATTGCGCCCTCCTGTCTCTGTCAAAAATGAGAGTTGTCAGTCATTGTCAAATGAGGCCAATCGACATTCAACCTGGCATCTAGAATTAGACAAGAAGAAAATGTGTTTAGTTGAGCAGAAGATCTGTCCAAAGCCATGTCATTGAAAATCGGAAAAACCAATAAAAGGAAATGCGAAAAAACCATGGAACTTCAGTTGCTTTGCGGAAGACTAGATTCAATTGGAACTGATGGATGAATAGATTTAAAATTATTTAAAAATTTAATAAAATATTGACAGTTTAAAGCTGTAAGCAAATTTCGCCTTGTATTTCAAGATTTAATTGAATTTCTTGTGAAGGAACCAGGGGCTCAAGAAGCTTTTTGGGGACTTTTTTCTAAGGGTTTGGTCGGAAAAAAGTGTGATGGCCTTTTTTAGGCGTTAAAACTGAGAACATTCCAGTTTAGATTGTCGCATTTGAATCGAGTGAAACGCACACGGAAACATTGTAAAACGGCATTTTTACGGCCCCTAGATAAAAGCCAGCAGGCCGAGTTCTCGGTAGAATCGTAAACGTAAAATGGGCGGTTGCTCATTGTGGAATTTGGTTCCGATTTCTTAGGCTCATGGAGCGCAGCCAAGGGAAAAATGTACGACAAGAAACGTTTAATGTTTTCGGGCAGTTCGGGGGCACAAATTGGGCGCAAAGTAGGGACCGCGACTGTTCAGCGCCCAAACGCAATGTCCGAAAATCCAGAAAAATGCACGCGGATTCAAAAGTTCGAAACGCAAGAGTGGCATGCTCGAGAGCACGCCATTCAGTTGTTATTCAATCGTCGTGTGCAGCAAACGGCGGCGCGTCCTCGCGAAGACATTTTCGAAAAGACGCGCGGCGCTCTCCTCAACCGCTCAACGCGCTCTTCGCTTGTTTAAACAATTGAAGAGCAAGACCGCGATCCGATTGGTGCTCTGCTTGAATCCGGTGCGTTTCCAGTGGTGTTCATCAACATACAACAATGTTCTGGAAGATCGTCCCTCAGGCCGCCCTTGTTCTTGACGATTGTCGTGCCGCAGCGACCAGAAGACAGATGTTGAGGGGCCACACGCGATAAAACCATGTCCGCGACATTCCCGTAGTTAGGCAATGGAATAGCTAATTCAATTAGGAAATTCACAAATTCGTCTTCTTCGCGTTTTCTGCGTCATCTTCGCCCTCCAAATGGCTGTTGATCGCAACCGCTTGCAGCACGACAGCAAGAGTCCACTGGGCTGGACCTTGAGCGTGGCCTGCCTCTACTTGGTGCTGAGCACGGCGTCCGGCAGCCTGGCGAATGGGGAGCGGCTGCGGCACCACCACATGAAGAACCAGCTGGAAAAGACGGCCGTGCTGGAAGCGAGCTCGAAAATGCCGCTGTTGGGCTGTCCGAACTGTCTGTTTAAGCACGATCGCGACAGGGAGAAGCTGGAATCGGACAAGTTGCGACTGGAGGCCATCAAGAGGCAAATCCTGCAGAAGCTGGGCCTCAGAGCCAAACCGAACGTTACTCACAGTCTGCCCAAGGAGGTGGTGATGGCCACCCTGAGTCGGGCGGAAGACGGCGACTTTACGGGCGCGTTCGGTGAGAACCCGGACTTTCCGACCACCAGCGAGAAGAGCGGAAATTTGGACACAGTGGAAGCGGACGACTTTTACGGCAGAACCAGCGAAATCATCTCGTTCGCAGAACAAGGTTAGTTGCAGTAGCAGTACCTGGGTGGGAAAAATCAATTTGCCCACTTTCACCCCCCCAGTTTGCTCTATAAAGCGATGATAATTTATGGATCGCGTCTATAAATAACCGAAAGTCGACTGAACGCTATCGGGGCGGCTTTTATTTATTTAATTACGGCAATTAATTGGATTCGACTGCTAATCTGCAGGTGGAGGCGTTGCATAAGAGCTGGACTCTGATCGATGCGTGTCCTTCCAGTGCCGAAAACTCTCCCGATATTGAGTGCCGCCAACAATTCAAATTAATCGTTGGCATCACGCACATCATTTATAACTTATAATACAGTGTAGAATGGAAATCAGCCTCGATTCCTTATCACTGATGCTGTTGTCATCAATTAAGCCTCCACCTTGAAGCGTCCAGGTTCTGGCCAGATGTGAAGTGATGGAGGGAGACAATTACATCAGCATCATGATGATGCTGCTGCTGCTGCGTCTGTATTTACTCACGTGGTGGTCGAGTGTCTTCCGCCGAAATCCAGACGGTGGAGACGCCGCGTCGTTCTGGAGCCGACGCCATCGATCGCGCGTCGCCAGGCCGGCGTCGCGGCGTCGGCGGCCGCAAAATGTGCCGGCGCACGTGCGACCCACGTGGATCTCAGGTGAGAAGGCGGCGGTGACGTCGCCCCAACCATATGATGGCTATGCAGGTGCGGGATAGAGGAAGGCCATGATCCTGCATTACCTTCAACTAATTGCAACAGTCGGGTGGTCCGTGCCCTTGCGAAATTGCCGGCCGTCGCAAATCGAAAAGCTGCACTTTTTCGCGGCCACCCTGTGTATTATGTGCGGTTTTCGGCCGAAAGTTTCGCAACCGCAGGCTCTGCTGTTTCCATGCTGGAAAGCCGAACCGGAACGCCTTGACCCAGTGCGAGCCCTTTATTTCCTTTTTCTGGAATAAGCGCTTTTATCCGTTGCTTCGGCTTGGTCGGAAGGGTTGAATTTATCAAAAGGCGACTTTATCGACTGCTGCAAATATTTCTGCTTTTCCGATACGCGTCGTTCATAATTTAGCGCTGTGGCGACTAGACGATGCAAGATGGCCCGATAAGGGCTGGACTGCTCGGGGTGGCCCACTTTGCCCCAGCTCTTCTTCTGCAAAAAAGCCGATTGCATGAAACTCGCTCGCAATCCAAAGAGTCATTTAAGCCGGATAAATTGATGGAGCGTCGTCTGGAAACTTTGCCTAGAAGCAAGTGGAGTGCGCGATATTTATCGGTCCAAGGAGGCCTAATTGATGGAATATCCAGCTGCGGGCAGGCATTTGGAGCACGTTGGAACGCCGGAACAATGCGATTGAAACTGGTTTGCACGCAAAACCGAAAAGTTTGTCGGCTTACACTTTTCGCCTTTCCATTATGTAGATTATTTCTTTCGAATCCCTTGAGGAAACAATGTACCGATTGTGTTTGGTTGCAGGTTCATGGGTGAACCAGAACCGACTGCTGCAGTTCCAGGTGAGTCCAGAGGCGGGGAGCCAAATGGGCCAGGAGTTTCGAGTGCGCGAAGCCAGCTTATGGTTGAAGGCCGACCTGCTGAAGGCGCCCACCTCCAAGTGCCGCTCGACGGACATTTTCGTCTTTAAAATCATATCCAATCGGCTGCCCGAGTCCGTCACGCTCAGCTCCAAGGCAAGTTTCACTTCGTTCCTACCTACAAAAAAAAATCCCTACTTCCAATCTAGCGCAAGCGGACACTTGAAACTTTTACAGTCCATAGGAGACAGTTGGGGCTGAAAATACTGAAAATTTCGCCCAAATTGCCTTAATCCCTGATTTTTGGCGACTTGGAAAAGTTGACCCAAAAATTAGCATTTTTACCCAAAATCACCATTTGCTTCAAAAAATCCCTCCTTTCAATCGAGAACAAGCTGATCCTTGAAACTTGCACCGTCCATAGAAGGCAGTTGAGGCTCACTACTACTGAAAATGTTGCCTAAATCGCCTTAAAATTGGCATAAAAATGGGCGTTTCTAGCCAAAATCACCATTTGCTTCAAAAACTTTCTCTTTCCAATCGAGAACAAGCAGACACTTGAAACTTTCACCCTCCATAGAAGACAGTTGAATCTCAAAATGCTGACAATTTCGCCCAAATCGCCTTAACCCCTGATTTGTGCCGACTTGAAAAAGTTGGCACAAAATTGAGCGTTTTTACCCAAAATCACCCTTTGCTTCAAAAAATCGCTCCTTCCAATCTAGAGCAAGCAGACCCTTGAAACTTTGAAAGTTTCCCAACAACGTGCTGTGGAGGTGCGAAAGACCAAACAACCGACTAACCGTCGTTATTGTGCAGCAATTCGATCGTCTGACCGCTGAACCGATTGCGGTGCCGCTGGAAGAAGCGGCCAGCGGCTGGCAGAAGATCGACGTGACTCAAACGGTCAGCGAATGGCTGGGCGAACGCGCCAAAGACAAGCTGAGCCTGTTCGTGGACTGCAGCTGCTGCGCCCATTGGCGCATCCATCTCTTCAACGAAGAGAGCGACCAGCGGTCCAACCCCAACCGGCCCTTCCTGGTGATCCACACCGATCCCAGCACGGCCAAACGCGTGCGAAGGAGAGCGATAGACTGTTCCTTAGATTCAGGTGAGTTCCGCGAGGCCTCCGACCGCACACCGTAAACCGATCGGCCCTTTTCTCGCACAGGAAATCAATGCTGCAAGCAGCGATTTTACGTTAGTTTTAAGGCCCTGGGCTGGGAGGACTGGGTGATAGCGCCGCAAGGGTGAGTTGCATGCAGAGGGTGAGCCGAGAAAATGACCGCGTAGGTGCTTGCAGGTACTTTGCGAACTATTGCCGGGGCGACTGCGGCCAGCATCGCACGCCCGACACCTTCGTCACCTACCACACCCATGTGATTGAGGAGGTGCGCAAGACGCAGCACCTGTCGGGGATGACGCCCTGCTGTGCGCCCCTCAAGTTCTCCACCATGTCGCTGATCTACTACGGCCCCGAATCGACCATCATCAAGAGAGACTTGCCGAAAATGGTGGTGGAAGAGTGCGGATGCCCGTAGGAGCGCGTTCCTTCGTGCGAGTCGTGGTGCGTTTTGATCCTCGAGCGCGAAGCGCTGGATTCACCTGTGAATACTTGAAGTTGTCGCATTTTTGCCATTTTGGTTCAGTGGAGCGGCGCGCGATTTGTAAAGGTTGAGCGAATGGACATTCCACGCGGCCGCGCCACGCCCAACTAGTTCACGACCGAACATTCCGCCAATCTGGCATCTCCAGTAGGTATTTATCGAAAAAGAACTAAGCCTGTAAGTAAGTAAGAAGATTCTTTAGCATTGTGATCGACTTTGTTTTGTGATTATTGGCTGGCGCAGATCGTGCCACTTGCTTTACCATTAACTGTGATTTCTTTAGTAATACTTCTCTAGAGTTAAGTTTTCCGCTTGATTGTCGACGCTGGCACCACCAATACGGTCCCAGACGGTGCGCCTCAGCGCCGCCCACCACTCAGAACTCAATCGGGCGAGTGGTGGGCAGCACGGAGGGCAAACCAAGTGCCTGGATACCGACGCCAAACGTCACGTTCTAGCTCCAGACGCAGGGTAATTATGCTCAAGTGGTAGGGCCGGTTTGCCATCAGCAGACGACTTTTTAGGGGCGATTTACATTAGGGGCAGACGACATTTTAGATAGGCAACTAATTAATCGATTATTTCCAGCATTAAACCTCACCCTGAGGGTACGAGCACACCGGCGACCGAGCGAGTCCGAACGATTTTTTAGTGCTCGCTCGCAGTTACCGCTTGGGAAGTTAGAGATCATATTTTCCATGGATTCTCTGGCCATTGGAGACACCGGTAAGGAAGAGAT